CGGACTTATACCGCTAGAAACCGGGTTTCGATACCCGTGGTGGGCAGAGCACAGATAGCCCTTTGTGTAGCTTTGTGCTTAATAATAAACAACAATAACCATTACCGCCAGCCCCCCCTAGTGGCACAACGGTATGTCTGCGGACTTATACCGCTAGAAACCGGGTTTCGATACCCGTGGTGGGCAGAGCACAGATAGCCCTTTGTGTAGCTTTGTGCTTAATAATAAACAACAATAACCGTTACCGCCAGCCCTCTAGTGGCACAACGGTATGTCTGCGGACTTATACCGCTAGAAACTGGGTTTCGATACCCGTGGTGGGCAGAGCACAGATAGCCCTTTGTGTAGCTTTGTGCTTAATAATAAACAACAATAACCGTTACCGCCAGCCCTCTAGTAGCACAATGGTATGTCTGCGGACTTATACCGCTAGAAACCGGGTTTCGATACCCGTGGTGGGCAGAGCTCAGATAGCCCTTTTTGTAGCTTTGTGCTTAATAATAAACAACAATAACCGTTACCGCCAAAAACATATCGTCCATTTTGGGGCCGTGGGTGTGGGTGTGTTATGAGGGCGGCGTTCAAATTCAACTGTTTGTTCAGAAAGGAGTAAGCCAGGAGTTGACGGTGTGTACTGTTGACTATCTATCTTATGTGTAGTTTTTCAGTTCAGAATTAGGGATGGATAGAGGTGATAGACCTTGTATAGCTTTTAGCGAATATCAGAAAACAAAGAAACCATACAAGTTTCAAGTGTAATATATACAATGTAAAATATATGGACTTATAGAGTTTAGGACAAACAAAAGTCTTTCGTAAATAACTTTGTTTTGAAGTTGATTTCGGTTACATCGTGCGGCTAAAATAACTTAAAAGTCGAAAGTAAAGTGACGTTTTTTAAGTAAAATTAGGATGCTATAACAATAGTTCTCATGAAAAGGCTCATGCACAGTCCGAAGGGTACGACTTGTAACAAGTTATGTTTACTCCAAACAAGAAAAACTGATTTAAAGTGAATTAGGAATGGTAACATAAAGTTACTTTGAGTTACAGTTCTCAGCTTTCATACAGCTACCAAACACATCCTAAATGTGGCTTCTCTGATAATACTATAAAGTTTCTTTGAGTTACAGTTGTCAGCTTTCTTACAGCTACCAAACACATCCTAAATGTGGCTTCTCTGATAATATACACCTGGAAAAAAGTTAAGCACCCCCGTGTTTTTTTCAAGTGATTCAGATTCGACGTTCTTGTGACTGATTATAAATTACCATTCAATCTAAACGTGTTTATCAAATGAAATTATTATCACCGTAAAATAACAATTTTTAATTTACATATCATGACATCAAAATATGGACAGTTTTCACGCTTAAAATTATCTTTAATAAGTATTGTCAGTGAAAGCTCAAAAACGTTATTGAATTGTCAAATCACATTACAAAATGTCAGTCATGACCCACACATTGATAATTAGTCATCGAAAAGTCAATATCGGGTATATCCACCGTTTGCCTGGATGACTGCTGCAACCCTGCGCCGCATACTGCCAGTTAGGCGAATTCTTGTGTTTGTT